ATCCATCCATCCATCCATCCATCCATCCATCCATCCATCCATCCATCCATCCATCCATCCATCCATCCATCCATCCATCCATCCATCCATTAATCCATCCATCCATCCATCCATCCATCCATCCATCTATCCATACATACATCCATCCATCAATTAGCCGCCCATCCCTCTATCTATCTAGATATCTAGATGCCTGAGGCCGTTTTTCGATCATGGAAGAAAATTTATTAACGCAAACTATTGAATTTCGCCCAAAATCTCGTCGCCGCCCCCGGCCAGTTCTTACCACGATGAAGGCTCGCTGATGTCACTAGCTGATACATCGGGCATGTTGCCGACTGACAGACAGTCCGCACCTGCTGCTGCCTCATGTACACGAATCTGTTCAATTAAGTGCTATCTCTCGACGCAGCTTCGCAAGAAACACTTTTACGATCAACCGGTTGAGTCACCGGCGACCAAGAAATCGTTAAAATGTGATTTAGCACACGTGTCTCCCCAGACTATTCCTCGGATCGGTGGGCCGCGGTAGATGGTAGGCTGAGACATAATAAAGACGAATTATTTTAGTCTTTTACGGCGCGTCTATTGGGTATAGGTCTCAAGCGGCTTCTACATGTAGATTTATACGAGCATTCAGTGTAGTAGTGGGTAGAGTGAGTATAGCAATGGTTATCTTTACGCCTTGCTACCTTACCTGATGTCTGGCCACGTTACAGAATACCTGGACACGTTACCTGATGTCTGGCTACGTTACAGGATACCTGGACACGTCCCTGATGTCTGGCCACGTTACAGGATACCTGTACACGTAACCTGATGTTTGTCTACGTTACAGGATACCTGGACACGTTCCCTGACGTCTGGCCACGTTACAGGATACCTGGACACGTTACCTGATGTCTGGCCACGTTACAGGATACCTGGACACGTTACCTGATGTCTGGCCACGTTACAGAATACCTGGACACGTTACCTGATGTCTGGCTACGTTACAGGATACATGGACACGTTACCGGATGTCTGGCCACGTTACAGAATACCTGGACACGTGACCTGATGCCTGGCCACGTTACAGGATACCTGGACACGTTACCTGATGTCTGGCCACGTTACAGGATACCTGGACACGTTACCTGATGTCTGGCCACGTTACAGGATATCTGGACACGTTACCTGATGTCTGGCCACGTTACAGAATACCTGGACACGTTACCTGATGT